GCAATGAGATAACCACCCAAGCAGGACACAGGAATGTTTCGTCGTTGGACCAGAGATGACGATTACATATTCGGAGCTGCTACTGGGGATTGGCCTTTCGATTTTTAATTTTACGTTGAGGTAACCGCCCGACGTACCACCATACACTGCACCTGAGATGGTCTACAAGACAGGTAGAGCCATGGGGCTGCGTGAAAACGTCAATTTGCTTTACAATCTGAGCTGGACTTTCCCACTTGATTCTGGTTCTTATACTTGTTCGGCTGCATTTTTGTGAGGTGGATCGGTGGATGAAAAAAATAAACCAGAGGGTGTTTGACATATTCATCAACAATGAAACAGCCGAATTTGAAGCTGATGTTATTGCTTGGAGCAGCGGGTACATGGCTCCAGTGTACCGAGACTAATGTTGTTTTCGTTCCAAAAGTAAAATAATGGGGAGAAGCAAGACCCTGTTGGCTAAGAGCTACACCCAAACACGAAATCAAAACCCAGTACTATAACGTCATTTTAAATGGAGCTGAGATCTTCAAATTAAGCAACTATGATGGAAACCTTGCTGGACCTAATCCCCCAAAAAAAGATTGTGGCTAGTTTGCCACCAAAGAAACTCACCAAAAAATCATCAAAGAAGATTACCTTGATTATGGTTGGATGTTTTTCTGGCGGGGCTGCGGCCATATTCAGTCTGTAACATGTCTCCATAGAATAATTGTAATCGACGTAGAACAAGGCGTTCTGCCCAACAAAATGGAGACCAGGCGCATCCCTCTCTGGAAGATAGAGATTCAGAGGTGATGAAACAACCTCAATTCCATTCACAAAGGCATAAGCTTCAACTGAAGCATTTGATGAAGATGGGACAAATTTTATGTCCAACACTCTTCCATTTACATAGACAATAAATTCCTTCATGAGAAATGGTACCTCGAAGTAATCAGCACTGAGCGAAGCACTGAAGTTGCGGAGGAGAGTGTGGCAGCGGCCAGAGCAAGCAGTGACGGTGACAAAAGACTTAGATGTGTCCTCTAGACCAGTATAAGATGACGGGTAAAAATGAAGGCGGACGAATTTTGAGCCCGGAGTGACATTGAAATTGTATGTGAATTCAGTGTGAAAGATACGAGCAGACAAGTAAGGAATTTCTGGGACAGAGGGATTCATGAAAGAGGCTTTGGACGCGGTAGAGTTGGTGGTGGCTGCAGGATTGTTAGAAGATACGAATTTGGAACCAATATCACCGGTCCAGTTTCGAGCATCGTACTGGGGAGTGATGGAAGAGGAAGAGCCACAATTGAGAGCTATGTTATCAGAGGGAATATAGGGTGAGTTTTCAGACAAGGTAATTGTTAGATAGAAGATGGAATAATAATAGAGGTGTGCAGAGATGAGAATGTATTGGAAATGGAAAGAGCAAGTCATAGGTGTTTTTAGTTTTTGATCTGAGAAAGAGAGGTATGGAAGAAAGTCTCAGAATCTCAAGTAAGCACCAAAAGAACCATTCATTTGAATCTGGAATGAAGAAATCTTCTTGAGTTCCTGTGTGTGGTTCATATCATATCATAGCAGGTTATACAGTAGAATTAATTGACTTTAGGGTAAATTACACTGACACCCCTGAGGTTTATATTTATTACAGTTCCCCCTTGCATTTGGGAAATTACATTGACCCCTTGTCAGTGTAATTATTTGACGGTGTTAACTTTTAAGTTAAAATGACATATTTACCCTTAACCTTTGCATATATTTTAAAGGATAAATTATACTGACACCCTCTGAGGTTTCAATTTAATACGGCTTCCTTTTGACATTTAAAAAAAAAAACTAATTTAATAAAAATAAATATGAAAAAATATATTTAATTTGTAAAAAATTATTTCTAACCACTCGAAAGATAAAAGTTATATAAAAATGATAATTATTTTTTATTTTTTCTTTCTTAACCAAATTAATTTTTAATTTAAAAAAAATTCTAAAAATCAAGCCATACATAACCTAAAAATCTTTTGATAAGTCATTTCTTATTTAATGATTTGTTAATTTTACAACATTTTACCATCTTAGGCCTGTTTGGTAACCATTTCGTTTTCAATTTTCAATTTATATTTACAAAAATTTTAAAAACTGTTATAAAAACTTATTTGATAATTTTTTAGGTTTATAAATAGCTGACTTAATTTGTAAATTTGAGAAAAAAACGTAAATTTAAAAAATGAGTTTACGTCGGTTTTTAAACAGAAATTTAAAAAAATTGACTAACAATTTTTTTTTTCAATTAATTTTTTTTCAAATAATTTTTTTCCAATTAATTTTTTTTAATTAATTTTTTTTTCAACTAATACTAACCAATGTGACAATTGATAATACTACTTTAAACCTTGGGAAGAGGATTGTAATTTCTAAAATGTGAAGGGTGTCAATGTAATTTACCTAGTGAGAGCAAAATTAGTATTTAAAAAAAATTAAATTGCTGACATCAGTAAAATCTGTTAGTTGACTTAACAGTCAACTAACTGAGGGAGTAATCTGTAATAAAATTTTAAATTTTAAGAAAAAAAATGTAATTTCTAAAAGATAAGAGAGGAAATTGTAATAAAAATAAACCTCAAGGGTTGCCAATGTAATTTACCCTTGACTTTATATCAAGCAGTCCAGTTCACTTTTCGGACTTATTTTGGTTGTGGGGACTCACCAAGCCAGCCAATCCAAAACAAAACAGTGGCCGGAGGGAATCCTCCTCCAATCAAAAAATGAGAACTTAACTTTTCTCAGTACAAAATATAATTTTTTGCGTAAATCATGCTTTGTCCCTTTTATGTTTTGGCTATTTTTTTACTTTGACCATTGTATTATTTTTTTTTCCACTTTTACCCTTAATATTTCATAATTTTCTCAAGTTAATCTTAAAACTGATTTTTATTCAAAATTATATAGAAATATCACGTTAGCTGTCACATAATATAAAAATATTTTATTATATTAGAATTTATGTTTGTAATAGATGTGTAAATTATATATAATAAAATATTTTCATGCCACCTAATTGTTAATATGTCATTTTTTTTTGTCTAATTTTAAATAAAATTAACTTATAAATTGAAAAAAATTTAAATATAAAAAGCAACAGTGAAAATTTTCTTGAAGAAGTAAAGTGAGAAAATACCTAAATAAATATAAAAGACATAGGGTGTAATTATCCATAACTTTTTACTCACCCTAAAAAATAAAAGTTAAAATATTTATAAAAAAAATTGATTCATCCACGTAACTCATTCGCCCAACCTCATGACAAATAAAATTTAAAAAATTGATTTACACTCCAATATTTTCTGAAAATTCTCCTTACATTGATTTTATCTTGGAACCTTATTCGAAGAATCTAAAAATAAAAGAAAAAGAAGAAGAAAAAGAAGAAAACTTACATGTAGGTCCTAATTAGGAGCGAAGTCACGTTGGGCTCAGGGGGTCACGTGCCCCCCCTGAGTTTTGGGAATTTTTTTTTAAATCATAAAGAAAATATATTAAATAAAAAAAATTATAAAAATATTATTTAAAGTGAAATGTCAATGATATTTTTAAAATTATGAGAACAATAATGATTATTTTGATTGAAAATAAAGAGGCTATAATAAGTCATATTATTATATATAAAAGTTTTAATATAATGGTGATGTTTATCATTATTGACATACAAACATAATTATTTGACATGTGAAGTTTATCCTTCATGTATTTCTTTCCATTCATAACTAAAATAACCACTATATAAATTATAATCAAGCAACACATCTTCAATTATAAAAATTAAAAAAAATTAAAATAGGTCATAACTAATATCAGAATGTGTCATAACTAAAATAACAACCACAAAAAGTTATAACTAAATTATATCTAACACTATAATGTGTTATAACTAAAGACCACGAAGATCATAATTGCGACATATGATAGATACTTTTTTTACTGTATGTTTTCTAGAATTTCTCTACTAAAATATATCATTTCTATCTCAACATGTCTTCTTTTTTAATTTTCCAATCCATCTATAAAATAGTTACTCCCCAAAATTTGTATAAAATTTGTTAGGTTTTTATTCTTGGCAACCCCGTTTGACAAAACTCCATTAAGTTGTATTTGTTTTCGCACTTTTTATTTCAGTGAGGCTATGAGTGTTTAGATACGAATCCAACTCGAATTGTGCCTTGCAGAGAAGTTTGTGATGTCTTTCAAGATTGCCACTTCGCTGATTATGACGGGGATTGAGTTGAGCGGACATTCCCCCGTTCGAGCGGAGAATGCTGGGTTTCAGAAGTTTGTTTGCCTGAAAAAATACTGGATGTTATTTTTTTCCGCTCGAGCAGAACTTTCCACGCTCGAGCGTAGGTCTACTTGAGCAGCCAATCTGACGCTCGAGCAGAGATCGCGGGACAGTTTTCTATAAATACGTGTTTTAGTCCATATCTAGGATTACTGCTTCAGATCTTCTTCTTAGGTTCTAGGGTTTATATCTGGAGATATTTTACTAGTTTTCTTTGATGTTTTGATTGAGCATTCAACTCATGGTTTAAAAAGTATACATCAAAAGATTATTTGTTTGTTCTACACAAAAGAGAGAGTTATTTTTTGGTGGATTTTGAAGAATTCGAGCCTAAAGCTTTGGTGGATTCTGGAGTGGCTCATCGTCAAGACAATTCCGAGGTGAAGACGGGGTTGGAAGAGGCACATGGTGGTTGGTTCAATTCGGGCGTGGATTCGCTAGGTAATTGAGAATATACCTGTGTAATTCCTTTATATCTTCTTAGTGGATTGTTTTGTGGCTGTTGCCCGTGGTTTTTTTTTATCACAATTGGAGATGTCCAATTGTGGTTTTTCCACGTAAAATCGTTGTGTCGATTTGTCTTGATTGTTTGATTGTGATTGTTATATACTGCTTAAAATTGATACATAATCACAAATCAAAGCGGGATTTCTAGATTTTTCAATTGGTATCAGAGCGGGTTGCTCGTTTGTTTTTTAAAACTTTTGAGCGAGATCTTGTTTGATTTGTGATAATGGATTCAAGTCGTGAGGGAAATTCTATGGTTCGACTGTGAGAACCCGAATATAAAAATTAAGTAAATAATTAAATAATAATATTACAATCTCAAATATTTTGGTGGTGAATTCTAAGGTGCAAATTAAATATTATTGGAGGATCTTTTAATTAATTTTAAACTTAAAATAAATTTGTGGTGAAAGCATTTAATTTAGAGGCAAGATTTATTATAAAAAAATATATAGAGAGAAAGGAGGGTGTGACTTGAACTCTAGACCACAAAGTTAATATATAAGACTCCTACCATTTGAGTTGCATATAACTTATATATATGTTTTGTATATTTATCTATCTATTTGACCTAAGTGTGCCCACCACTAGTATAAAATAAAATAAACACAAACCCTAACTCTTGTTATAATTGTTTTCCACAACACTAGCAGCCCTAGCAGCCGTGGGTTTATGAAGGAAAGAGAGGGGTTTTTCAATCATCAAGATTATTGTTGTAGCCAAGAAGGAGAGCTTTGGGTGTGTGGTGCTGTGTGGCCTCCTAGGTTTTCTTCTCTTCTTTCTTTGTTCTTCATCCTTATTCTATTATTATTTTATTCATTCATGGAGGTTGTAGGTTTATATATTTTGTATATATATGCTGTTAAGAAATCTAAGGAGTTAAATTCATGTATAAAGAATCGGTGTGAATCTTAGTCCAAAAATTCTGCACATAATCGCTAACTTTAAAAATCAAGAAACCATATCAAACGGATGAATTTTAATCTGAAATTTTTACAGTAGATCAATTACACATTGAATTGAATATTTGAATTTTTTCATAATTTTTGGGAGTCGAAATCCATATAAATTGAGGTATTCAAATCTGTCCAGGAAACCAGTCCGAAACAGTAAATTCGGGAGTGTTGTTCTCTTTGGGTATAAATCCAAAAATTATCAAATTAGTGTCATTAGAACCGGTTATGAGTCTAGTTTCGTACGTTTTTGGCCTTGCATTGATTGCTCGTGTATATTAAGAGAACCGTCAATTTCTTTAAAGTGCTGCAGAAAACAACCTGTTTGGATATAATAAATTGTAGAAAATTATTCTGATAAGCAAATCAAGTGAAACCAATTGGGTTTGAAACTTAAGATATATTAGATTATATCTGGAGGTTATTGGAATTTTTCGAATAGCGTGGAGTAGGTTTTGTAATTTTCAAAGTTAGCGAATAGATTGGGAAAACTTGTTTAAAACACTATTTCCTCTTAAAGTTATTTTTAGTTAAGTTTCGATCGGAATCTATGTCTTAGGTGATTTTAGACCTTGAAAAACATGAACTTAGGTAATATTTA